AGGCGGGACCAGGGATAAGACAAGAGACCAAGAGGCGACGAGCCAATGAGCCCTTGTAGTAGTATAATCCTGTGTGGAAGCGTTTGCGTATTTAGATGGCTGTCGCTGTAGGCCGCGGGAACAAAAAGAGCAAGCAAGCAAGTCGTCGTTATCAATTATTTCCACTTGATCTACACTTGAATGCCGGCGATTTTTTTCGGCGAGGATATCCAGCCAGCAGGACGGGCAAGAATCATGGGGGGCGAACAGAACCAAAGAAGAGAGGGAGGAGGTGGTCGAAGCTGAGTGGGGTAGGAAAGACGGCAAAATGACGGATGCTCCTGGGACCAACAGCAGCAGTGGAGCTGTTGTGCGGATAAGATGATGATTGCCTATAGAAGTATTTGTTCGACTGAGCTGACCGTCGCCGACAGCTTAATTGTAGGTGCGTGTGTCAGGTTTGTGTTGGGTTAAGTTGGGTTGATAATGCTGAAGGAACAGCCATCGCTGTCATTGCACTTTTCCTGTCGCCTCTCCTTTTCTATCCTCCTTCATAGCCTCTTGCTTCGCCAGTCGTTAGAGCTGGCCCTGCATTGCTGCTGCTGCTGCCACTTGCGCAAAGAAGTGCAACGTATGGAGTGAGGCCCCGTTATCTGCTGGCGGCAAACGATTGGGTGGCCAACCAAACCCTTGACCGCCTCCAACTTAGTGATGAAATCGCCCGAGAGGTTTCTGTCGCTGAAGTGGTTGTAAGCCAAGGAAAACAGTGACGGCGTTGACTAAAGCTACAGAGATCGCAGTAGCAGCAGCAAGGCGTAGAGGGCCTTCAGATCCCGTTGCTTATTCCGTCGGCGTTACAGCGACGCGCTGATGGAATATCTGTGTGACTATTTGTCTTACTTATCAACCTTAGAGAGACGTATGAACCTAGAGCTCTATATATATATATATATATATATATATATATATATATATATATATATATATATATATATTGCATGTCTATGACGTGGGCATCCAGAAATCACTTCAGTCGTGCTTTTCGCTGACCCAGCGAGACACAAATCCCATTCATGCCAGTAGCTTTAAAGATGGTTGATTTACAGGGTCATTGCCTCGATGCCAAAAGCGTGCGCTGGAAGTAGGGTGTGATTCGTTGTACTATTTATCCTGACCACGTCTGACTGACGTTCGCTTTTCTCCTTAAAGGCCAAACCGCTACTGGATTTTATGCCGTCAATACATATATGGATGATTAAGTTCTGAGCGGGGTGCCTGTGAAGAGTCTGTATACAGAAGAAACACTGTTTATATAGTGTTTGACAGTAATTAGTTGAGTTACGATGACGATAACGAAGGGTAACAGGGAAAAGCTGACTGGCTTGCCGGTCGGCTCTAAACGGTAAGTTATGTATTCAGGGTTTTTTGTTGCTTTAATTGGCCCATATAACACATATTGCCTGATGATGGTCGCTAGTGATGGACGACCGTTCCCCTTGGTGCTATTTTTAAAGTAGTTATATATCTATCATCGAACTGTACAAGGATTGGAAGAGCAACCGATTGTTTTCTATAGGCAGCATGCAGGCAGGGCAGATCTGAAAGCATACAGGGCCACCACCAGAACACTCCACCGCTCCGCTTATACATCGGCCGATCAGTTAGTCTTCCTGTGAAAAAGGCAAACTACGAGCCAACGAAAGAAGCGAATTAAGCCTCTCTACTGTGAACGAAGACAACAATGGTGATGTAGACGATGATTTTGCCGACTCTAAAAACCAGTTACTCCGTCTGCAACCCCTTGGGCGCGCGCGTCTAATCGAGTGATTGCCACAGCTCGTCAGAATGAGCTGATGATCGGTTGGTTCGCCGAAGTAAGTCGAGTGCGGCTGTGCTGAACCGGTTCCTGCTAGCCGACGCAGATCACCGCTTTTTGGCCTACGAGTCCCTTCCGCTTCATTCTTACCCCTCGGACTGTCAACTGACTCTAAGAACGACAAGCTGCAGAGCAAATGAGTAACGGTAGCAGCAAAGGCGTATCTATAGTTTTTTAATATTAGTCCGCCAGCGGCAGGAGTAGAAGCAGCACGCATGCACGTGTCCTTTAGCAGCCACAAACACAGTTAATAGATGATTCCTACAAGAAATCAACCCTGCTGCAGGACCAAGCTCCTCTCCCCCGCTTGCTGGCTTCTACGCCGAACTGTCGATGCTCATTGGTTTGTGGAGGGCTTTTACGTTTAGCTTTAGTAACGTGAAGGAACGCTGAGTAAAGCGTAGAGAAGGGGCTGCAGAAGGCCGGCTTGTGAGTGTGCCTTATCCAAGTCACTCCAGCCCACTTTACGCATCACTGGTCCTACTTTAGAAAAAAAAAGAGGCTACGTACGTCGGTCGAGCCGTCCGTCGTCTGATGAAACGCCGTACTTGGGTTCAGCTGCGGCTTTTATTGCCGCTTCTGCTATCGCTCGGCAAGGCAACACCGCAAAAAGTTGACATCGTTCTTCCAACTACTCTCTCCCGTCCTATGGAGCGGCGAGGACGCTCATCGACGCCCCAGCTCATGCTGCGGCTGCTGCTATCGGTCCCACGACGCAGACAATATAGACCAAAACAGCATTGTGTTCCTTTCTACAGGCTTGCCACGAATATAGGAAGCTGGTAGTGGTTGTCGTTACCACGAGACAGCGCCATGCCATGTCAAAGCGAGCGATTGTTTCTTCTCGGTTTCGTCATCCGCGCATTGTCTTAGTCTTCATCTTTGACTTTGTCTTTGCTTCTTTCGGTTCGGCGGGCTCATCAGCTCTGCAGCGACAACGTTGGCTTCTCCGTCTTGCTATTTCTTCAATTAACAATGGACACGCACATCGCTTCGCTGCTCCTCGGCGAAGTCGACCCTGCGTATTATCTCATCTATAGTTCTATGGTTTTCTTCATCGTTTTCTTCTTCAATGAGTTGTGGTCTTTATCATCATTACAGGATAGAGGCAGGCGCTACCGCTAGACTATGGCCTGGCACCGTGTGCTTGATCTTATGTGGCTAGATGCCTACTAGCCGGTGAGAAGACAAACCAGCCGAAAGCAGTGCCCTGCCCTAGGTCCGTCCTTCTGATCGGGTTATTTCGTTGTTTTACGCTTGCTCGCCCTGAACCCTAGCTTAAATAGGTACTGCGGGCTTCCTGGTGAGTCTTTCTCCAACGACTCATACTATTGCGCAAGAGAAATATTGCTATCGCGTGTTGAAGGCACGTCGTCGTTTTCGGCGCCGAGGCTTAAATCGGGCGCGCCGTATTTGTTGCCACCGCTACGCCGATGGCAATGGCAAAGTAGAAGAAACGATCGCGCTATTGTATGTGAAGCCTGCCTTGCTTCCCGCTTTCCGCTGAAAACGCACCTAATACGAAAAACATGAACGGAAGTCTCAGTCGAGGCGCGAGTCACCAACCGGTGTTAGGATCACGAGGTACTCTAGGGAAGTCTCTCCGAGTTACTTGAGCATGAATCTACCACCACTTCCACCATTCTCAGCCACGACTACTACCAGAACATTTGGGGCCTGGCGGGAGTGTGTTTTGCCTGTTCACCTGCTTCCAGCCTCTTGATTCTTGGGCTCCCGCATCGTCAGTACAACTGCAAAAAGGTTGACTGAAACAGTAGCCTCATTCCTTTACTGCTTGACTGACTGCCTTGCTGGGTACTTGCTTGCTTTGCCTGAAGTGGAGTCTCTGCGGACCCGATTACGGCCGGCTGAAAGCTTCGACCTCGGACGTCCATTTGTTACCATCAAAGCCACCTGCACTGCGGAACTGCTCGCTGCGCTTGCTTGCCTTGTACTTGCACTCTTCTTTGACGTTGCGTGTTGTGCAGCGGTGCTCTTTGTCGGACTCGCAAGTCTCAGACTAGCCCTCTTCGGTTTCCGCCACGTAACTCCATTTTTCCCTGCGTTTCTCGACAGTCCTGTTCGTCAACTATACTCGTGGCCTTAATCGCCGCTATTGCAGTGACTGCCAACTTCTGCCAAAGTAGCATTCATGCTTTATTCAAAAAACGAACATCCAATAGGGCTCCAAGTAGGCCCGAAGCAGCCGTAGCAGACCTGTTCTAATAGCGATAAGAGCTTGTAAACGTGTTGGTTATTACTAAACATCTCCAATCAATGAGCCCCTTACAAGTATTTTTGCTTTCCTGCCAGACAAATCAGTTCCAGGCGAAATTCTTCGGCTTTTTCTTGTAAAATATATTTTTATCTGAAGTGGAAATGAGAAGACTACCCGCAATGTACACCCATGTTATGGACGATTGTATACTGAGTTGTCGCAAGAGAGATTGTCACGAGTTTACACGCGGATCCTTCAAGTATCACATGGTTATCCTTAGTGCTGCAACGCAGACATGTTTTAGATGAGACGAGATCGAGCGCTAGTTTATTGTAATTGTTTTATGGTGTGCAAGAAAATGAAACAGACGATACGCTAATTTTGTATCGTAAAACTCATGAGAATATGACTTGGTCATAAAAAAAATTCGTGTATAACAACTTTTGTAAACAACAATTTAACACGTTTCCTAGTTCTAATAGATATTGGTATTAAGAAGGTACTGCATTATTCTTTTCGTTATGGCCATAAGCATATCTTAAGCATGTGCTGTAACATATCGATGAATGCACAGCCATAAACTTCTTCTATTTACAATAAAACTAAACTATATGTAACAGAATCTTTTACGTCATGCATCCCCAAAACAATGCAGCAAGCCTCAATTCCGTGTAAATGAGGGTACCATAGCCATTCTATACTGTATATCGAGTGTACGTATATATCTATGCGTACACTCAATAGTAGTACTTCCATAGAATTCTGCCTAGCTAACCTCAAACATAAGGTTTACATGACCTAACAGCATATGCTTTGTTTTCTTTGTCTTTTTCATCAACTCATGCGTGCCCTCACGTGTCGTCGTGTCACCCCTTGCCGCCGATGATGTTTACCTCGTTGTGTCTTTTTCGTCCTACTTCGTCGCAGTATCTCAGCGCGGCGGATGGGCGGGGGGAGTAACACGCGTGGGTGGAAAACCACCTTTTTTCTCGGGGCTGGACTCCAACGGCGACCTGCTGGACGTCAACGGGGGATGCGGTGATCTCGGAAATGGTCACGGAAGCCACGGGGGACCCGTCGATTCCCACGGCATGCATCATCATCATCACACGCCGAACATCTCAGCATCCGTAGCAGCATCTCTCAGGTAGAGAAACGCATCCGGGTTCGAATTGAGTAAAAAAGAGTGACCTAGGTGGGTTTTAAGCTTTATAGAGGGTATGCTGTCGTTAGAGACAGGTTTCATTAGCGACGAATTGGCCTGCTGACGAACCCTGTTGGATGCTCACCGTAGTTGACTTTGTGTAATCAACGAGTGACGATCGAATTCATGAGATTGTCAAACAGCATTAACGAGAATTTCGAGTGTTTTTCAAACGATTAATATTGAAGCCCACTCTACAGGAGTTTTAGCCGGATCTTTTGGGAAAAGCGATATAGATATTCACAATATAGGTGAAAAATTTGCAAAAGGACTATCTGAATCGAAACCTGCTTCACTATGTATTTATTAATACATAGAGTCGAAAATGCTTATATCGATGAAACCATAAGGGCATAATCGTCCTGTTCCTGTTCAATATGTCTGACACAGTAATAGCATAAAAAAAATTCTACAGTTATACCGATCAATTACGCAGTCACCTTCTATAATCAGACATGGACAATTTTGCCTTAATCCAACCGGAACTAATTAATTAGCTAATATACAAGGTTCTGTATCAGGAATAATGTGTTTCTGCTCCGCTACGTAAAACCTGATAGAAAACTGACTCCGAACTATCCGCTATTAATAGCCTTGAGCCGTTCATCCGCATTTCTGATGTATGTATCACAGCAGCACGTTGACTTCTTTTATCATAGCTTAGACTGTATATGTTTAATACTACGCGTGTTTTGATGGATGGGCGTACTGAAGCAAGGTGTTCATAATGAAAGCAAAACCTGCCCCTGGTTACAGAGAGAGAGGACAACGAAGGCACATAGTCGCCAACTTCTTTAACTCGTCGTATTCTGCCGGTAGCGCGTGGGACAAGAACAATATATCGTCTTGTTTCGTCAAGCATCTCTGGGTGTACTGGCTCTGCATAGTGGTGGCCGATCTTTTAGTTTTTAATGATTATCCTGCTCCTAACACGGTCTGGAAGTGTGTGGGGCCTGAGGCCGCTTCAATTTTGCAACCCGTTTGCTTCAACTTAGGGCAGGTTTACTATCCCTTGTATGAGAAAGCAACGCGCTCGAATCCGTTGCTTAAGGGCATCGCTGCTTCATTCGGGGGCAGTGCTGCTCGGCACATATTGAGGGACAGTAGTAGTTGTAAGGGAAACGGAGATGGCAACGCTGGTGGCCAAGTTCTTTATCAGACAGCGCTTAGACACTCTCGCATCGCAAATGAAAGAGCTCGACTGCATTTGCTCTGCTGTTGGGAGTAACAGTATTGCGCGTCTAACGATTGTACTGCTGTTCCTGTTGTGCGCGGTCGTCGAAAAAAAATCATATACTATATGAGTAAGAAACAATAAAAAATAGTCTTGGGGGGCGTACAGGCGAAAAGAATAGGGGGGCAAAGCACTGACTGTGTGCTTTTTTTGCCAACTCACTAGTCAGACCGCTTTCTGTCTCTTACGTGGGTACTCTTTATCGAAGAACACTTCTCTCTCTATCCGAGACTTATAGTGTCTCCTTGTGTCGTATGCAACGCACTCGTTTTTCGTCCTTCTCCAGAACGCCACATTCTCTTTTTGAGTACAACACTTTCACATGTCGTCCACTGTAAACGTGCACATCCCGACACCATCGCTACGCGGAACCATAACCTCACAGCTCACTAATCGTAATAGATTCTCTCCGAATTTTTAACGTTTACCTCTCTCGTTTAATCGCACAGACATATATATATATATACACATACCGCACGCAGTCCTCAAATGTCCTAAATTGGTTTGTCACTCTCCCGGCTCCTACTCATTCCCGCTTAACACGCGCAATGTCAAGCCTTGCCGTGTCCTTGCGCGCCTCATCATCGACTCCCTTACTCTTTCACTGATGTGTGCTTTTTGTTTTGGTTTTGCATTTATTGCGTCGATGCGTCGTCTCGCCTCTCTACGCTGCTATGCGGGAAATCATGTGATCGTCATCGCTTCGGACGCTATCGGTGCCGTCGTTATCGTAATTGACGCCTTCATCTTCGTCGTCATACTCGTTCACCGTACCGGGTCGCCATCACCCCCGGAACGTCTCTGTATTCCGTGCCATCCTGCTGGTTGGGTTCGTCTTCTCGTTCGGCTGTTTCGTGCTTTTGTGTTTTCGTTTTCATGGGCGTGTTCATGCTGCCCGTTCATGCCCATACACTCGCTTATCCTTGTCCACAGATGTTCGCCCAAGTCGTCGGTGGGAGGTCACCATCATAGCGCAGTGGGTGGCGGAGGCGGTGGAGGTGGTGGTGGAAGCAACCTCGGGGAGAGCTACTCGCGCAAAGTATTCGTAGGAGGTTTGCCCCCCGACATTGATGAAGAAGAAATCACAGCCAGCTTTCGACGCTTCGGCGCACTCGTTGTTGACTGGCCGCACAAGGCCGAGTCCAAGTCTTACTTCCCACCCAAAGGATATGCCTTCTTGTTGTTCCAGGTACGTGATACACTCTACTGTAAATAGCAATGTATACCACCAATTATAATATTATATACATTCGATGCTGTTCTTAGTGAGCATTCCTTGGTAGCGCAACATAGATATTGCATGTCGCATCCACGGACAAACGGGCCTGGTATAGACGGCAGCTAGCGAGGGATAACTGATACCTGTTGTAGGGAAAAGGTCGCGATAAATTGATGAAGTGTTTGCTATTTTTTTGAATAGGCTATGCTCTCTGCGATTTTCGTTTAATAAAAATAGTGTAGTCTGGCAGTTACCATTGGTCAGACGAAATATTCCGATTTGAATTATTCATACCCGGAATAGCAAACGCGGAATTTCCATTCCGGAAAAGGTCGAAAACGAGGATTGATTTGGTTCCCTGTAATGAAAACCTAGCCATTAGGAATGTTTTAACAGTTCAGCTAAAGACAGCAACTGGGGAGCGAAAGATCAGGTAAAAAGGGTAATGCATCGAAGATCCTTTTTCTTCGAATACTATAATGGTGTTTTGTATCGTCTTTGCAATCATCTTTGTCGTAGGAGGAACCTGGCTGGCCGGCTTCTCACACAGCGCAGCTTCCATTCTTTTTAGCTGAGCAGAGTAAATGATCTATTCGACTTGTAATGTATTCGCCAGGTTTCAGGTACCCTCGTGCATAATACCTCTGATGGTCTGTCAATCCACAGTGGTTTATTTGTTATAGATGTGTCAGAATACGCTCACTTTTTGTACTCGTTAATGTTAGCTCCTTCCATTGCTCTACTGACTCCGCTTCTTGTCACCTATCCGATAAAAAGTCCGACTCAATCCGACTCAGAATTCGGATTGGCTTGGTAGCACTGAAAAACAGCTGCCAACAAACACGCATCACTCCCTCATCGGTCAACTAATAGGAGCTCAACCTGCGATTTCGCAGAGTTCGCGCATCGAGCGTAAATAATTTGAAACAGTCTATCCTCAAGCTTCACCAGCGCCCATACAATCCGCCCTCGTTAATTTTGAAAGAGTGCTATGTGCCCACAAGGAGCAAGAATGGCGGGCAAAAGAGTTTGCCGCGATGCCTTCAGGCTCGAATTTATTCACTAGAGTGGCCTATCTTAATGCCTACAAAAACATTTTCGTCGCCCTTGGTATTCTAAAGATCCCTCAACAGCTTCAGTGTCCATTGCCGCTGATATCGCTAAAGGACTCCGGCCAACTGTATCTTTTGCTTGTAGTGTCTGCTATACAAACTTTATATCGGAATAGCTGATACGGTGTACGGCACATTGCCTCACAAGACGTATCAACCATTCAGACACTGTGGTTTTTCTGAGCTAATACAAAGTACGCGTTGGCGAATCCGATAAGTTACCGAAGATTGTTACACGTAAGTAGGAAAGCCTGTCGTAATAGCAGCGTGATCTCTCTTCTTACGTGAACAATAATTAAATAGTTTAAATAAGAACATGTTGAAGTACAATATATAATGCGTAATCGTAGTTTTTTTTTAAAGGATATTGGCAACTGAGCAGACACTGGACGTTCAAATATACACACTATATGCAAGTATGATGTCCTTATCACGAGTATAAATACAAATGCCAATATAATCTCATCAGTCCGCGTTTTCTGCCCTCAACTTTTAGACAGGCGACATATAGGCGTGTCCTTCCTTCGGATTCGTTACGCTTTACCGGCTTTTATTAGTCGTTAGATATTAAAAAATTCGATCTTTTTAGCGCTCTCATGCTCCCTCTAGTTTGAAACAAGAAATGTGCATTTTGCCAAATTTAAAATACGACAACTTCCATGTTTTAGACGCGGTTCAGGGGTTTATACATTTGAGATAATGTATGTATATATGTGTAGCTGAGTCGTAATTGGATGAATTCTGATGTTAATGCTGGCTCACGAGTAGTTTGGTTTTGCCCATTCGATTTTAGGATGAGCCTTCAGTTCAGGCTCTAATCGACGCATGTATCCAGGAAGACGACAAGTTGTACCTGTGCGTATCCTCACCTACCATTAAAGACAAGCCTGTCCAGATCAGGCCCTGGAGGCTGTCCGATGCTGACTTTGTTCTCGACGCCTCTTTACCCCTTGATCCGCGGAAAACTGTCTTCGTTGGGGGCGTGCCACGGCCTCTGAAAGCTGGTAAGTCTGGATGTCAAGAGTATATAAATGAGAGACATTAAGAATATTAGTACAGCCCGTGCAAATTTTGTGTTGAATTCGATGAAATACTAAATACGGAAACGCTGTAGATAGACTCACGTTTTACTAAGATTTTTCAAGCATAATTTTTTGAATACAAACAACCAGCTCACATTTAAAATATTATTACGAGCGCGATTGTGTGAAGACAATTCTCTATGTCACTCAGTGTGAGAATATTACGTCAACCGCAAAGAGTTTTGTGTTAGTCGTAAACAGCCTATCCCAATTAATCCGAATTGCTTATCGAATCCATAATTTTCCCCTGTTTGTTAAATTCACATTTATACCACAACCCGTTTTATACAAGTCAGTCCACAACTCTAGTACGAACGTCACGCAACGAGTTGTATGCACGTATTCGGTTCTGATCAAGCTAGTGAGATAACGTTTGTATTTTTGACCTAAAAATGGCATATGGCCAGCTTTTTCACACGTTGAGGTTTTCTTCTCTACGCCTAAGTGTTTTATTTAAGTGGGCTGTCATTTGTACCCGCAATCGTTCATGTTAGCCAGATGCCTCTAAAGGCAACACATTTTTGTTAAGCGTGCATAGATACACACATGTGTGTGTGTGTGTGTGCGTGTGTGTGTGTGTGTGTGTGCATACTTTGTTTCGTTGTGTATAATCTCCACGAGAAATATATTCACTTTGATGTTTTGCTTTAGAGCTTCTAATGAGCTGAGTTTAACAGATCCAAGTTACACACGTTGGCAGTTGGAGAAGCATCGGCAATGTCAGTAGCCGCCGTTTCATAGTATAGCCGGTAGTGGGATCTCGTCATCGAAGGCCTCGTCAAAGTCTCGTACTTGGTGAATACCCAAAGCCCCCCTGCGTGCCCCTTACCAAAATGTGCGAAAGATACTTGCGCAGTATCACATACACACACACGCGCGCAGCCAAAGGCACACAAATACTTGGACAGTCTTCCACGGCCGCTAAACAAGATTTTTTAACGCTGGTAGGGACATAGCCTATGCCAGTATTTGAGAGGGTAGGTTGAACTATTGGCCCTTCGTATAGCTTAGTGGTCGTCGAGTCCTGTCTGCGGGCCTCAGTCGCCCCTCTTACTAAAGAGGCAAGAGCAAGCCGCTTTTGACTCTGCCCCCGATCCGGATAACTTGGTGACTTTATAACTAGGGATCAATGAGTCGCTGCATGTGATGACAACGTAGGCAGTGGTGGAAGTTCAGCCAATTGCATTGACTGCTTCAGTGAGCGAGCGATGATCTCAAAGTGTCTGATAAGAGCATATTCGCAGCAGATCGCAGCCAGGCGGCTCGTAAATCCAGATAGGCACACAGGGTAAGTCTGCCATGAATGTAGGTTTGCACTTACCCCGCGTTCGCTACAGCTGCGGGTGTCGGCGTTTGTACGAAGCCTAGCGTTTAGAGCGTCGAGGCAGCTGGAGGTTTTAGAGGTAGCAGCAATAGCAGCGAAGGGCAACGGAGGTTACAACAAGTCCTGTAAGGTTCTTTTCGGCCTGGCTACTGTCCTTCGTAGCGCGGTGGCGTTCGGGCTAGGGCTACCCCACTGTACTGAGTAGCTCGAAGCAAAGATATGCAAATGTGTGGAGGAAGCTAGAGCCAGCCGACCATCTATGATGGACGGTCGTTCCATGCTTGTGTCGTTCTTTCCTGTACCACGTCGCCCATATGCCCCTCGTCGGGGCGTAGCGTTGTAAGAATCTCGTAAGTCTAACAATACCTCCAACAGCGCCGCTACCATCAGGAGCTTCTGACGGTGTTCAAACACGCTGCGTTTAGAATTGCTGTCTTGTTGTGACTAACTACGGGTCCCATAATGCTATGCTTTTGGCTTGTTTCCGCAGTCGTTCGATTGGAGCATGTCGCCTTGATTTGCGAGTATCGTCCTCCATATCGTGCACCAGACGATTGCACGTCACGAACACCGTATGCTCTACTCAAGCATACTAAACAAAAAATTCCCAGTAAGACGGGTCAGCAGTCTCGGGCTTTTGATGTGATACTTTGCTGGCCTCTCTTTACGTTAAATCGCCACCTCTTATGGCTCTGCAATTGCTGGTAACAGCCGTGCAATATTCAACTCACCAAACAACGTAACGACCTAGCGACTGTTCACACGTGCGCCCGGCCAACGCTTCATAATCAGCAAGCGAACCACGCTACTACCCTGTCTGCTTAGCGCTATTCAAAGTGGCTTGCGCTATTGTTGTCGTCGTCGTCACCGTCTACTTCTGCTACTGCTTGTTGGACACTGGGTACTGGAGATGGCGTGTGCTGGATACATGCCATTTGTGTTGGGGATCTTTGGTTCTTGCGGTTCGTGGCTGTCGGTCTTGTTGGTCTAAGAAGGACGAAGAGGCGGACAACGAGGACAAAAGGAAACGATGCCAGGGCAAAGTTGGGTAGTACATGATACCAACCAGTGGCGTTCCCTGCGAAGTTAGGCGAGCACGAGGAAACCAAGCATAACACTATTATCGCGTACATATTGGGTGCATATGTAGTAGAAATATGGATATAGATCGCAACTGCGGCACCTGCGAAGAACCTTATACGGACGGACCACCGCCATAGATACGCTGGTAACTGGCTAGACGAATACAATCTCCAATCACTCGGACCTAGCAAGCCTCCCTATTTCAACGACTACCCATTTGAATGCTGTCTCCATATACACTCATTGTAACGACAGCGGCAACAAGTAGCAACTGATACTGCAATTGCCAACGTTATTACTAGGGCGGCTGTTGTAGTTTTGTTATTGTTGTAGTTGCTTAGTTATTTCCGGACGAGGCTCTTGGGTGGCGGCTGATGTACAGGCTAACGCCTTGTCAGGCCCCTTCGAATCTCATCGAAATGGACCCTTACTGAATTGAGCCCGTTTGCCGTTCGTCTCGGCGGCGTCTGAATGAAGCGTTTGTATCGTCAGCTTTATTTAGTTTCCGTCGCGGGTGCGTCAGTTGTGCTTACTACTACATGCTAGACATGTTGACGGTGCAGTTGCTGCTGTTGCCATTGTTGACGTTTTCATGGCTCATAGTCTGCGTGACCACGGTCGCACACAACTAAGGTGTCATAGGATTTCTCGCCATGCATAGCTACCATGCCCAGCTACTCATACTGCCATTAACCCGGTAGTAATAGTGCCGTAGCCATATATACTCCGTGCGCTGTATGATTCTTACTGCACGCGCACGAAAGTAAAAAGGAACGTGTTAACTCAAGTAGACGGAAGGCGGCTAGGCAACATGATAGCCTGTCGTTTGTTATCAGAATCCGTTTACCAGTGTAACCGCAAACATTTTTGGCCTGACGGATAAAATATTTGTCAACAAGTGGTAATGGTCAAAGTTACTGTGATGACTTCTCACAGCAATACTTTCCACCTGCCTATTACTATGCCAGCAAAGATGTCGCGATAGGGCTATGCACCATACTAGCATAGAGAAGTATCCACCTTGCGGTCTTTACGCAACCCTAGATTTACCTTACGGTGCTGCTCGTGTTCAGGCATGTGTTGCCTAAATCGTTCACGGCCGTTTCCTCCATTGCCGTCGCTGCAACTGTTGTTTGTGTTGCCACTTTTCCCGCCCATTGGGATCTCGTTCGTTTGACATAAGAGCGGGCCGCCGCACAGCACATGACAATGGGAAAAATAACAACAACAACAGCGATGACGACAACGACTATAATGGCCGCAGCAGAAAAAATCAGGAACCAGCCATACGCTGGCTGCGGCCCCCCAGCCGTCAAATTCTTCTGTTTGCTAAGACGACGCTTTGGCGGTAGCGGAGGTGCCAAACACAGCGCAGAGAACAGAAGGTAGGAGGAAAATAACCCAGACAGGGTTACAATGTACTGTCTATCTCCAAAAGTCTCCAAGATAAAGCGGCACCTAAAACGAATTGTAGTAGCAGCGAGCCAAGCAAGGCAGCTATGCAACTTGTCCGATCCAGTCAAGCAAGAAGACTCTATGCTTTTGGGCTCGATCGGTTGAATCCACGCTTAACTTTAGTCGAGTTTTCGCAGGCGTAGGGCTACGGTGATCGACATGATTCGCTGCTGGCGGTTCCTGTCATCTGATGAGTGAAACTCTTCTGCCCGTCTACCACACATTATACCCATATCAGGCTGTAATTACCCTCTATGACCATTACTGGCTGTGAACTGACTGGGTTGCTAACAGGAGTAGCAGTTACCACAGCTGAATGTCCAGTCATCAGTCATCCCATGTCGCCTGTCACGAGGACGGTTCACTGCTTGCAGCGTACACTCTCTTTACTTCTTTCTTACACTCTTTTTTTACTCCGAGTCCCAAAAGTTAGTCATCGCAGAAGCCCACACTCAGCAGCTGACGCCTTCTGCTTTTTATGGATGATGCCAAGAAAACCACTGCATCGGATGCCTTCCTACCCAACATGATGTTTCGGTAGGTGTTTCATTCACATAGACGCTGAAGTGGACACTTCACACGCCTTAACTACTATGCGAGGGTGATTTAAATGATATTTGTAATTTGACTCTCACCACTTGCTTATCTGTGTACGAACGTTTTATAAAAATAGCAGTATTTAAACACCTAGGTGTGCGTTGAAGTAGCCAGGGCGAGGCAAGCCTTGACTATAACAAAACCGAGCCTTGCAGAAATGAGATACAGACTTCAGTCTTTTTAGAACTCGCCTTGCTTTCGGCCGGTACGTGCAATATAGTGGATACAATAACAGAGTCAGCCAGCGGCAGTAAAAGGGGTTCTGCTGATTTCGCAGTTTTTTTTGTTTTAAACTATCCGCCAGGGCTCCACGCGTGCCACCCGTAGCATCACAGCGCCAACATCAACAAGAGCAGTAACAGACCTTCGCCGCTTGCGGCTTCGAGAAGCAGGGGAGGTTCTTACTCTCGCTCTAACGACAAGTTCGCCTGGTCAAGTTTGGAACCTGCTTCCTTTTATGTTT